TCATTTGATATGTCAGGGTCTATTCTGGATAAATAGGAGTTCAACCCGATACAGTAACCAGAAGGAAGCTGTACAAGCAAATTCCAAAACTTCCGATTCTACGTTACCAGAATTGACCCGAATTTTAGCCGGCCAAGGGCTGTTATTTCGGAGATTTAACCCATTTTAGATCGGTAAGCCTTTGATCGTTCAGTATGTATGGTAGTTATAAGCTACAGTGGTTCGATATCGGCGATTCCGAAAGATGAGCAACTTCTCATGTGGAATATTAGCTAGTTGGGTAAAGTGGCCATAAAACCCCACCGTTTGTTCTGTTTTCTTCAGGTTGGACACAGAAGCCTGGTAGTTAACCAGGGGAAGATGAATATGTACGAAACAAACAGTCGTCTCTGTCGCGATTTGGCTCTCACGTCACTGTAGACAGTCATAACTTCGAAATTTTAGATAATTTCATCTATCTTGGCACCAGCATTAACACCAACAACCTGTCTCTTATACACATCTAATAAATTGCAAAAGTAAAAATGATAAATTCTAAACCTAAAAAATTAATAAATTATTTTAATTTATTAATTTTTTAATTAAAATCAAAATTATTCTAATTTCCATTAAAAAAAACGCCTTAGTTTTTAAAATCTAAAAGCAATCTTCTAAAAAAAGCTTTAAACCGCATCTAAAAAGATAAATTTTATTATTTGTTATTGTAGACTAAATTTCGAAAAATGTTTATTATTTAATAATGCGCTGAATTTATATAAATTTATTTTAGTTTTAAAAAATCATTTTACTAGATAAAACAAGTTGTTTTTCTTTATATGCAATCTGATTTTTATTATAAACAAATATTATTTCGAATAGGAATTTAATTCTCTTTTATTTTATAAGTGCATTAAATAAATGTAAAGAACAAATTTTAGCGAACAAATAAAATCTAAATATTAAATTTTTAAATAAAAAATATATTGTTTTTATTTGTTCTGTGGCCAAATACAAAAATTTTCCAAATAAAAACATAACTTTGATTGTTGTTGTTGTTTTGTTGTTTTGTAATGGGCGTAACCCCCGTTAGGATGGTAAGAATTAGATAAGTTGTCATCAACTTCATCCAACTGTAAGAAACATGTTATTTCGACGGAGTCGGACCAAATGGAGAAGTGTGTCAGATGTGTAGGGTTTGCAGGGCATGCAAAGAAGTGGCTAGTATCATTTGATATGTCAGGGTCTATTCTGGATAAATAGGAGTTCAACCCGATACAGTAACCAGAAGGAAGCTGTACAAGCAAATTCCAAAACTTCCGATTCTACGTTACCAGAATTGACCCGAATTTTAGCCGGCCAAGGGCTGTTATTTCGGAGATTTAACCCATTTTAGATCGGTAAGCCTTTGATCGTTCAGTATGTATGGTAGTTATAAGCTACAGTGGTTCGATATCGGCGATTCCGAAAGATGAGCAACTTCTCATGTGGAATATTAGCTAGTTGGGTAAAGTGGCCATAAAACCCCACCGTTTGTTCTGTTTTCTTCAGGTTGGACACAGAAGCCTGGTAGTTAACCAGGGGAAGATGAATATGTACGAAACAAACAGTCGTCTCTGTCGCGATTTGGCTCTCACGTCACTGTAGACAGTCATAACTTCGAAATTTTAGATAATTTCATCTATCTTGGCACCAGCATTAACACCAACAACAACGCTAGCCTCTTTGTCAGAATGAAATTCTTCTCTTTAATTGTGTGACCGCCGATTGGGAGACACTGCTGTGAGCTAGGAGACGGAATGCGATTATAGTATCTAAATTTGTTGAAAAGACACCACCTTCCATTCGATTACCTACTTGTAGTTTGGCCATATCCGTATAGATGGTTATTCCTTGTCACTGTCTACTTCACCCCATTCGCACTTTTCTGTAGAAAGGAAGGTAAGATTGGGGAACGCATTCTATTTAATTGAAGAGAACGGAACTTACTAAGTTTCTTAGAATAACCCCAATACAGGCGAGTAATTGAAAAGATTCCCTCGTACTGTTTTACTAGCATTTAAGTTTAGTTTAGTTCTCGTCATACATGATGTCTATGTAGAATCTTTGACGTTTCCTTATAGAGAGTACTCCTGTCCAGGGTATAAATAAAATTTTTTTTGGAAGTATGTATGTCTGTGTTTACCACATACATTCAATTTCACAAAACTCCCTCCAGCTAGCAGGCGCACAGCAAAGTCAAGCAATTAGCCGAATGATATATTTTCTACCTACCGAACTTTTGTATGATTGGTAGAATGTGAACTATTGCCTACATTTAGGAGTGAAGCCAGAATTAATAACAAAACAACATAGTTTTCTATTGTCATTAACTATTTTGGTATTTTAGAACCATATAAATATATAGAAAGTCTATCGACTAGCTACAAAACCTTACATGCTCTGCGCTTAATTTTTCAGGCTTTGATTTTTAATTGGAAATGAATAGATATAATCAGTTGATATCCCATTTTGCCATAAAAATATTATTTAAAAAATCATATCACAACCGAAAATAAGTCACTTGAAGCAGAAGACCATTTTGTACGACAAAACTACAAAAATATAGTTCAAACACCGTTTCAACTTTTCCAGTACTTGTAGCATATCCATGTCTATACTATAAATATGTATGCACTATTTTCCCTGACGTGACAGTTTGCTGTGCTTTTAGTTTACGTTTGCAACAATTATAATTCAACTTGTAACAATTCAATGGCTAAATTACCCTAAAATATTTAGTTGACATACTTTAACACAGCCGATAAGTATGGCCGGCAAAGCGAACGATAATAATTAAGCTAAATTCGACTAGGGTCACGATATTGTTGGTCAATATAAAAGAATTGGAGCTGCAAAATTTGGAGTTTGGAGTGAAAGGCATATTAAATTCAAACAATAGATTTGGTATACGGCACTTTCTCAGCTCGGCTATTACTCCAAATCATCGCTGTTGCGTTTGGGGTTTATGGGAACACCTATAAGTATGTATATAAATATTTATGCACACAAAAAATGAAAAAGGAATGCATGTGTTAATTTTAATTAATTTTTATTTCAAAAACAGAAAGTTGAAATTTGAATTAAATTTTGTTTTTACTAATTTATTCACCTAAACTTTATCTAATATTTTCATTTTTTTGTCTGAGGCATTTCAGTTTGTAAACAATGCGTGTTTCTTAGTTTCTTAGCGGCAACTGAGACCGCGGAATCTTTGAAAGAAAGAATGTAAACAAAAAATGTTAAACTGCGCATGTGCCCAAATATCTGGTAACTATGGATTAAAGAGGGATAGTTTATGGTTAGTTTTCTGTAAATACTAACTATATGCATACTAATGTGGTGATTTCCTTTGTATTGAGATTTTTTGGAGACATTTGTAACTGTCATTTTATAGTTGGGATCGGACTTTGGAACTAATTTTCTGTTGTTAACATATTAAACAATATTTAGCTCCGATTTGGAGCTTGGAGGGTATTTTGGTTCCGGCTGAATTGCCTTACTGATAATGCCATCTGTTAGCTGATCCAGGTTCCAGAACTGTTTCGCGAGCAGTTTTGTGAAAATGAATTCCACAACTACTAACCTCTTTGTGAGATCATAGAAAAATTGATACGATATTATACGAGTAATAGTTTTGGATATTCAGTCTTGAAAAGTTGCGCTCACGAGGTCAGCTAAATAGTCACTTAACATTTTAAAGGGTTACATAGGTTTACAGATTTCAAAAAATCGATTTTTTTTTATTGCCTTATTAAATTCTACAACTACTCAAGAATATGGTTTTGAGTTTTCATGTTTTTCTGAGTAGTAGTTTCGGAGATACAGCCTTAAGAACTTGCGGCGTCTTTAAACACGATTTTCTCGAAGCTGTCATTTTGAAGTTGGTTGGATAGATTTCTCCCCAAAAAATGCTCAAAAAATCTTCATAAAATTTTACGCAGGTTTTTTAGATACAATTCTTTAAAACCTGAAGGAAGGATTTTTTTCTATTACAACTATTTGCACATAAAATTGTAGTGAAATTTGAATTTTTTTGTATTAATGTCTGTATTTTCACCTTAGTCCAAGCTCCAAGTGGTCGGTTTTAAAACATTTTTTTGCAAAAGACTTAAGATTTTTTGTCAATAGTAACTGTTTGTAAAAGTAAAAATTCTAAACAAAAATATTTAATTTTTTATACAAGAAAAAAGTTTTGAAAAAGGTCGTTTTTGCTCGAGGTAACCCATGCATAGGTTACTCTAAGCTCGTGTTCTCCAAAAAGCAGAGGCAGCTGTTTTCCGAGGGACTGCTGGGAATCACGTCGTAATGGCCCAGTCTTGAATATTTTAATTTAAAAATGTAATAAAATCTTTTTAAGGTATGTGTCTTTATAATAGAAAAAAGTTTGAATAAAATATTTAATTTTTGTATGAACAAACAGTAATTATTGGAAAAACCTTGTTTTTTGCTCTAGGTAACCCACGTAACCCATTAAAAACCCGTAATATATTGTGTACGGCATATCTTTTACGTTTACGATTTCGTCCTTTTTCACCACCAAGATGGCAGCACTGTCAGCTGATGTCCGGCATGTCCAATTCAATACTTAACGGTCACTCAGGACTCACCATTCATCAGAAGCAACACTAACCACCGTTGTGAGAGTACAAAAGTCAATTGCGTAGCACCCGAAAGCGCAGTCACGAGTTGTGAGCGGACGAGTACGGTTAAATTATTCGAAAATAGTAAGGCGCAGTGAACAAAACCAGCCACAAGCCACAACAAATGCAATTAAGTGAATATTGAGAATTATGAAAAAGAACTAAAATAAAAATGGTGTGGGTGAGTAAGTGGGCGTTAGTGGTCAGTGCATTTATTGAGCACTAAGGGCTGAGCAGGCCGGATGCAAAAGAGCGTGACGAAGCATAATTAAAGTGGCGCTGACCAAAGTCGATTAAATAGTGGCCCTTGATAAAGTCGCGAAGAAAATAAAGTGTTGAAGAAGAAAGCTTTTAAATGCAGTAAAATAAAAAAAACTAAACAAACTTCTTAGCCGGTGATACTGATAATCCAAACTGATTTAAAAGAAGACGCGGTTTTTGGAAATACATTATTATTTATTAAGTCTACTCGAATCTAACTGTGAAAATAGTATGTTCTTTCGACGCATGTTCGCGCGTATGGACAACAGTGGCAGCGGCAGCAACACCGCATACGAGTACGATGATGAGGACGAAGTCAACGCAAACGGCAACAACCATGAACGCGACAACGTAGGTGCCTCAGGCGGCGCAACAGCACGCGGTAAGCAGCACAACAACAACAGCAATGGCAATGGCACACTCAGTAATGGTAGTGGCACAACCAGCAGTAGCGACTACGAGCTGCAACAACGGCGAAGTGGACCACGCAAATATGGTTCTTCGACCGCATCCGCAGTTGCAACTGGCGCAGCCAAGCATGGTGGTTCCGCCAGCACACTGCATCGTGCCGCCACCACTGTACCAGCCACAGTACAACTGACACCCTTGTGGGAACACATATTGCGTACGCGTACACTGCCCGACAATGTTTATCCCATTCAAATTTTTGGCGAATTTCTCGAACGTCTACGAGATCCCGAGTGGCAGGTGCGTCAGCATGCCTTGCGCGTCTTCGTCGATGTATTGGTGGTAATGCGCGCGGATGCCGACACGTATATGGATCCGCTGATACCGCGCTTGGTGGAAAATTTGGGGCATCAGGCGCCTACCGTGAGGAAAGGCGCACTCGACTGCCTGCGCGTATATCTCGCCGAAACGGCGATGCCCGAAACGATATTGCTGCAGATACTCGATATCGGGCTGAACCAAAAGATCACAAATGAACCGTTTGGTGGACGCTTAACATGCGGTGTTATGCTATCCTTACCGGCGCTGGTTCAATCGACGCTGCACACCGGCAAGCGGCACTACATACTACGGACGGCTGTAGAGATGTTGGTGCAGAAAATGGGCCAGGTGACGCATCAGGAGATCACATTGAAAGTGCTATCGAAATTACGAGAATTAGTTGGTGAGCCGGAGTTTCGAGAGTATATGACGAAGAGCGCATATAGAGAGTTCAATTTGTTATGTAATGTCTATGGCGTGGAAACAAAAATGTCGAATGGTGCGCATAGGCATGGTAGTGGACACATTAACCAAGTTTACGCCAACAGCACAGGCGGTACATGGCATCTGCTTTCCAAGCAGTCCGCAAGCAGCAGCTGGCGCTCATCGGACGAAGAGCAAATGCTCGAGGAAGCCGCAAAAGGTAAAGTTATAATGGAGACTGAGATAAAAATCAATGATGACACATTGACGATGCGCATACTGGAGGCGAAGGACGACGACTTCGATACAGAAGTCGATACAGACTCGAGTCCACGCAAATCTCTAGACACCTATCCAAATAGTTTGGAAGATGAAGTTGTGTGTGGCCGTTTGCCGAGTGCAACGCACGACTCAACGCATGACATAAGCGCAGTGGTACGTTTGCTCAGCGATTCCGAGTTGGACATGGAAGAAGATGCGAATGGTTTGGTGCAAGCGGCGCACCAGCGCGACAATCCCGAGTACTATACAGTAGTAACGCCCTCGACACCGTCACGCACGCCGAAGCGCGTCACATTCGGTGGAGAAGTGGTTAAGATGCGCACACCAGACAGCGATGCCAACAACTCCAATAACACAAACAACAATAGCAACGCTGCTGAGCAGCAAACACACACACTTTTCGCCACAAAGTCCGGCACACAGAATGTCATTGACGCTGGTGGAGGTGGTAGTAGTGACAGTAGTGAAACTGTGCAACGCACCATAAAAACAACTACAACAACAACTGAGATAACAATCATTAGCACACCGTCCACCTCCGCCGCGAGTAGTCCAGTACCGGAGGAGGGCTACAAGACCATGGCGCTCAGTGTCGAAATCACCAACGATAATACCAAACCGCTGCCGCCAGCAGCGCCCTCACCAGCAACGCGTCCGCGAACAGCGGCATCTCCACGGCGTTCCCAAACGCCAAACAACACAGCAGATGGCGCTGCCACGTCCGCCGCGAGCAACGTGAGCACTTCAACCTCAAGGACCACAACAAACTCACAGTCACCACCAAAACGACAAGACTCGTTCGGCAGCGCGACCTTATCGCCGCATTCGCCATTCAAGCACCTCAGCATTAGTCCCGTGGACAGCATTATTAGCCCCAAGACGCCACACAAACCCATCGAGGTGATGCACAACTTGCAACGTGATCCGTCGCCAGTGCGTGCACGCAGCGCACGACGCGCGGAGTCAATAAAGACCACAGCGCCGAATGCGGAAAGTAATGAGCTGTCCGCCAATTCGTTGGCTAAGTCAACAGCAGCGCCACGTGCACAGACACCTTCGCCGCTGCCGCCAAAGACATGGGAGGAGTTGGACATTGTCGATTATGACACATTATTGGATCTGCGTTCAGGGGTAAGTGAAAGTGACGCCGCTATATGACACATATGATTACTGACGCTTAATAATGCATAATGTAGGCAATAAAAAGCGCACATAACGGCATATTTATACATTTTGTCTGCAGCTGAAGGTTACACGTTTGCAATGCAATCGATATTTCACACTTGACGTCAAGTTGTGGTTGTTGTTGTGTAGAAAAATTACTAAAATAAAAAACGCTTGAATTGCATGTGAAATATGAACCCAAATCCACTGCGCTGTAGTTCATAGATTTGTCTGCGGCACAAAGTTATAGCAAAGTTTTTGCATCGGCCGCCACTTTCACTATAAAGTTGCGAAACACTCATACACTTACAATATCGTAAGCATATGCCAGAACTCTGCAGTATTGCAACTGCACGCATTCGCTCGCAGCGCTCGTGAGGAGGCCAGTAGGAAATTATTAGACTAATATTTACAATTTTACAGTTTTTCAGCACATTTTTTGAGTTATATAAAAAATAAAGGGTGATCCATTTTGATGTTCCCTATGATTTAAAAGAAAAAATATAGAAACTTCAAATTCAATGGGGGCTGTTCATTATTTGTTCAGAATATTCTTTGGCATTTGTGTTTTTAAGATTGTCTCTTTCAAATATTGACCGGCTACGTCTCCGATCGTTCATCCGTTGAACCCAATTTTGATGACTCGTTCGAGTATTTCGACTGGTAACCGGCGAATGACACGCGTGATGTTTTCCTTCAAGGCCTGTATCGAAGCGATATTGTCCGCATAGACCTTAGACTTTACATATCCCCACAGGTAAAGTCAAACGGGTAATATCACACCGGTATCACCGATATCTCGAGCTTCAATTTCAGGCGTCAAATAGTCGGTTACGACGGCGCGATAACGGTCACAATTGACGCTTACGTTCTCACGGCATCATTTTTGAAGAAATATGGATCGAGGATTCCACCGCCTAATAGACCACACCAAAACGTGTTTTTTTTTTAATGAAATGACAGCTCTGAATCTATTCAGTTTGCTTTTCGTCCCAAATGCGACAATTTTGCTTGCTAGCATACCCATTGGGCCAGAAATGGTCTTCATCGATGAAAAAAATTTGGCTCGAAAACGTCAGATCATCTTGAAACTTCTCAAGATCCAATAGTGACTGATTTAATAGTTCACATCTTACCTCAGACTGGTTGTAGCTAGATAGCCAATTGTAAAGCTCCGTATGTAACAGGTCAATTGAAAAGTTCTCGGCCTGACACATAGATGGCGCTAATAGAATGATAAGAGATTACTTTTTGAGAGAAAAAAATTCAGTTGGCTTGATAATTAGTTCCCGGACACTGCTCTAGAAAAATAAACCAGCAAAGATTTGTATGCTTAGTTTAGACGTGGTGAAATGAGCACCGAAGACGAGAAAGTAGTGGACGCCCAAAGGGTGTTATTACCGACGAAAACATCAACAAAGTCCAAAAAATAACTTTAGATGACCATAAAGTGAAGTTGATAGAGACAACGGGCTCTCTACACATATCAGCTGAGCATGTACATCATAGCAATCACGAATATTTAGGAATGAGAAAGCTCCATGCAAAGTAGGTGCCGCGAAAACTCACTTTTGACTAAGAACAACGACGAGTTGATTTTTTGGCAGTGTTTGGAAATGTTCAAGCATAAGAAGCCCGAGTTTTTGTATCGATATGTGCCAATGGATGAGCCAAGGCAACAGTCGGCTGGCTTGAACTTCGGAATGCGCTTGGAATAATTTTTATTGACCACCTTGAAACAAGACTATTACATGGCATTACTTTGAAGGACGAAATTGCCGAAAACGGCAGCATTTGAAGAAATAGAAAATGCTCTTTGGCCAAGACAATGGACTGTATGCCACAGAAATCCATAAATTCGGCTTAGAATTGCTTTCGCATCCCTCGAATTCGCCAAATCTGGTCAACAGCGACTATTTTCTGTTCTCAAACCTTAAAAGAATGCTCGCTGGGAAGAAATTTTTCGTCAAATTGAAGCAAAGGACAAATCGTACAACACAAATGGTATCGAAAAGTCGCTATACCTATACCTTGAAGGTACACAATAAGCCAACAAAAAAAAAAAAAAAAAAAAAAATTAAAAAAAAAAAAAAAAAAAAAAAAAAAAAAAAAAAAAAAAGAATTTAGCGAAAAAAATGTATTTACTAAAACTTTTCATAGCAGCCATACAAATTAAACTTTTTTTCTTATTCAAATAAAAAATCCTACAAAATTATTAATTTTTAACGACATTACATACCATAAACTACGAAAAGGCTTATATTTTAAAATGTCCTGTGATTGCGCTTCGATTTCCTAGTGGTACACTTTGAGCGCCGAAAAATATGCAACATGTACAAGTTGCAGCAGGAAGAATTGTGCAATTTACACAACAGTAATTTTACAAATGCATGACCAGTAATAATAATTCCGCAGTGAGGTGCACAAGCACAGCCATACACACACACACAACAATATAATCTGGTATGTGCACACGCACACAGAAACAACCATGTATTGCAACTACACACACTTATGGCTACGAGTATTTGCATAAGCACACATACACAAGTAACTAAAAATCACATAAATCCACATGTGTATGTGAGTTGAAGCGTTTTAAATACAGACCAGAGCCGAGTAAGCAATATAAATTAACAACTAAGCGCATACATCTTAGCAAATAAAGTACAGCTAGAAATGGAAAAATGAAAATATATACTATATGTATATATGTATGCATTTATGAATTTATGTATGTATGTATGTATATATGTTTGTATGTAAATCACACGTACAAAGTTGTTCTTTTTATCCATCGCTGAACTGGGTCACTAGGATATAAATACATGTGTGCACATAATAACTATGAGGAAATATGTAATTGTGTTTGTGTGCTTGCATTAAGTGTTCGTATTTTTAGTTATCCTAACGGCAAGCATTAAATTAATATTAGATGCGAACAGCTGATAAGCGAAATAGTAAAACCAGTTCGATATTTCATTGAAGAAGCATAACTGCGGCAGTTTTGTTCTATAATTAAATGGAAATTTACACTAAAATAGACTTTAAAGTTAACATATTCCGCTCCTGTACTTTTCATTAGAGTGAATAAATACAGGGTTTTATAATAACTCACTGATTTTAAGTGATTTCAAATGTTTTTTTTTATTTTTGTATTTAATGAATACAATTAAGATCTGAATACTGATGTGATCAAATTGAAAGGTGAATTTTGTCCATTTCATTTCCTTCAGAGAATTACAGAAAAAAAATTTTTTTTGATCACACAAACATCATTCAAATTACCTCCACGACCACGACCAAGAATTCGATGAACTCAATTTTCGAGTACTTTATCCATTAAATCTAGACGCATGTCATGAGAATTGACTTCGAAACCTTGAATATTTGTCTCAAGCAGCTCACGACCTCCGATCAGCCAAGTATCCTCTGGATAGCCAAAAAACATTCGTTTGAAGGCGAGCTAAGGTGAGAAGTCCCCTTCCCAGGGTTGTGTGCTTAGTTTGGTACCTGCCATGTACCAAAAATCCAACCAATAAAAGAAAAAGAATAGCCTCAGATGACGACCCAAGCAAAGCATGAAGAGAATCTGTTTTATCTCTAAAGACCAGCGACTTCAAATAACCTCACAAAAAGCAGTTTAATGTTATTAAATTACAACTTCTTGCAGACCATTCAATATCACAATTTTTTTGAAATAATCGAATCTCGAAACTTTACTCGCAATAATTCATTTGTTTCATGTGCTGTGTAGCACGTAGCCCCGTCTTGTTGAAACCAGATGTGGTCACGATCCATTTCTTCCAAATGCGGTTATAAAAAGTTGGTGATAATCGTTCTAGTATATCACACTCCATTAACAACAACGGTGTCACGGAGATTTTCTTAAAAAAAATCGTTGTCATGTTCAAGTTGTTCGAAGGAAAAATCAACAAACTGACGACGATGATTGTAAAAAATGAAAATGAGCGCTCGAAATGTTTAACAATTTGACGAATAGCGGACACAGGTAGACGATTTTAACGACCATAAAAAAAAGCAAAAGCGGATCTTCACGAACTTTGGCATATGTTAAATGAAATTAATAAATTTTGAAAAATCTTATGTTTTTTGGCTTTCAAATAATTCTTGCCATAAAGTAGTCAAGATTTTGTATTTCACAGCTTAAATCGGCTCTCACTCTTTAATAATATTTGAATTTCATAAAGTTACCAACACTTAAGCCGCTTTCTCTCCTGACATTTTCTTATAGTCACTTCCAGTCAGTGCAGAAAAAGTCATAAATAATTTTTAACCCAGTTTCCAGCACATTATAAACGCACCGACACCAAGTAAATCGCCGCTGCATGTCACCATCGCATCCATAAAATAATCAAGAAAATACAAAATAATACAAAACTACATTATAATAACCGAGTGAATAAGACGAGTAAGACGTGTCCCTGCAACATTTTCGCCGACTTCCCAAATAAAAATATGAAGGGACTCATGCACTCATGCCGGTGTTTCCCGGCGTTTTCGTATTACTCATGCCGCCGCGCAGCGCTTAGTGGGATTTGGCACCAACTTAAATGCCACATTATGGGTTTCTTTTCATAATTTTATGCGAGCTGACCGCTTGCTTCCACTTTGCATTGTATATGTGTGCGTGTGTTCATTTTGTATCAACGATGTCATATCCTGTCCGACATTTAGCGTCAACGCGACGACCCTTACCGCCACTTCCTTCCTCTTTCAGCACACGCGTTGAGCGCCTTGTGTTGCCAGATGTTTATACATATTTATGTATGTATGTGTTTGTGTTAGCATGCAGTCGACAATTTAGTAAGTGTTTTATTATTATTTCATACTTTTTTCTTGCCATTGTATTACTCTTGATTTCTTTTGCTCTGCTCAGTGACCCGAATCCAGTATTGTTTTGCGGCTGTAATGCCGGCATTTCTCTTCACCAATATGCCATTGGT